TTAATATTTATTTTAATTAATATTTTATATATTTTTAAAATAATAGAAGGATTAACAAAAAAATTCAGAAGCTTGAAAAACATTCCCAAACGAAGCCTCAATACGTGCAAATTAGGTCATTTCTCAAAATTTAAAGAGCTTTTCATGTTTCATTCTCTATGCTTCTTCTGCATGACAGTAATATAATCCCTAAATTTTCCAAGGAGAAGATATTACACCCAGCATGTTGGAGCTAGTCATCCATGTCTCCCTAACTAACGGAGTGCAGCCCTTAAATATTGCATTTATCCTAAGCAGCAGAACATAATCATGTCAACTTTCAATTGTGCCCAAGGAAACTCTGGCACAAATTTGGATATTCATGGTGACGTACACCAGATAGTCATACAGCAGTGCAACTGAATCCATAAAGTTCTAACTTTTATCATTCCCAATTTATTTTTGACGAAATGAACAAGTTTGATACATACCTATTTTGAACTAGAAAGAAAGCTTATACTGAAATAAGATTAATAAGATACAAGCACTCAAACAACAGCACTCTATCCCTCTTGGCATCTCCAATTGAAACTCTTATTGCCAAGTCCTGACAGCAACTCCTCTGCCAGACATCATCACTCTTTCTGAGTTCCAGCAACTGAAGGGGTTTGCTCTGATCCAGCAGCAATACTCTCTGATGGGCTGTCCTCAGCAGGCTTTGCAGGCTCATTTTCTTTAGCTTCTATGGCTTCACCACTGGCATCCCCCTCGCTTACTGGAACGGTTTTCTTAATAGTTCCAACCTTCACATACTTGCCCATGAACTTGTACTCCCAATCCTGCAAGGCTTCCAATTCAAATGGGCCAAGACCAGATATATCTCCAGTTAAATCTTTGTCTTCAAAGGACATCTTTGCAAGAGCTCTGCTAGCATCCTTCCCAGCGAACAATGCATAAGGCCCACCAGGTCCATAAAACATTCTGCAACAAAGGATTGGTATATACAACAAAAAAGAAGTTTCTCGAATCATCTGATGCACAATTATTGTATGCACATAGTTAGCTCAGCTAAATTTTCTCAATTCCAATGCAAATTCCTTCCAATCCAGTACTTTAATAGGCTTTTCATCATAGGGACTAGATATTTACTTATTTAGCATATTTCTTAAGAAACAAATGAATTTTGTCTGAAGCAAGCACATTCAGAATAAGTTTACATAGAATAAATTCAATGACACCCAAAGTTTGCAAACTATTTGCCAGTGACATACAAATGGATTCAAAGAAAATTGAACAAACAATAATGAACAGGAACAAAGTTGGTTTAAGTAACATTAGAAATTTAGGCTCAAATACGCAAGACTTTAAGCTCCAACTAAAGCTTTTTCTGTATGCATGTGCTCAGGTCCAAGTAACATGTTTAAGACTTTAAGCCCTAGTTAAAGCTGTGTCTGTATGCATGTACTCACGTCCAAGTAACATGTTTATGACTTTAGGCCCCAACGAAAGCTGTGTCTGTATGCATGTGCTCATGTCAAACCGAGAGAAGAAAACAGAATAGAGATGGATAAACTAATTTCCTACTTTCCATGAGAATTGTACAATTCAAGTATCAGTGATCATACAAAAGGGCTTATAGAAGCCACATCAAACCCGTCAAATAATCAGTTCATTTTTCATTTGATCATCATCTGATCCACAGTCAAAAGTCTGAAACTTTGGATTACACATACTAACTTACAAGAGGAAATGTATCTGCACTCGAATTGTTCAGCTGAATATCCAGTATTATGCACTTTCTTCATGAAATTTGCATATTTTAATCCTATCCCACATAATTAACAAAAACAAAGAAAACAACTTGGAAGAGAAAAGCTGGAAATGGCATGAGAAACAAAGGGTGCGTAAATTAAGAGTTTAGAAGACGGTAAAAATTAGAACTTTTTATAGAAACCCCAAAAGGAGCACCTGAAAAGCACAATAAAGAGAAAGCGAAAGAGAACTATTCATGTTTGACCCAGAAATTAATAACCCAAAAGAATCGAGACCCATAATTCCAATTTCAACATAAACCAAAAAAAATAAATAAATAAATAAAAATAAAAACCCAGAAGATAAAAATCGGTGAAGATATGAAACTATACCTGCTTGGTGAAACATCATAGATCTGACTCTTGATGGCCATGAGGAGGGGCTTATTAGGATCCGACCCATCGTACTGCTTGAGCTCCTCCTCGGTGACCTCGCCAAGCTGGACTGGAGGAGGAAGCGGCTCCATCTCCTCAAAGTCCCTGGACCGCTGAGTAGGAGCACCGGACGAACCGAAGAGACCAGTTACGACGTAGTATATGGCCCAAAGGAGGGCCAGGACAGTGAAGAAGGTCGCCGGGGAGAGACCCGTGTAGGCTGTAATCGCCTCCTTCAGAGTCTCCCATAATTGCAGAGCCATCGCTGAGGTATCACCGACTGAAATGAGAGCGAGAAGGGGAGAGAAAAATAATGAGAACGGGGTTGGAAGCTCAGAGTATATAGGAGTATTTTTTTGAAAATAGGCAAAGAGAATATAGGAATTTGGTCCGCCTTTGTCTTAGTAATTTTGCTGTGGATTTTTCCTTCTTTCTTTTTTTTTTTTTTTTTTTTTCTGTGGTTTTTTATTTGGGTAAATTTCTGTGGACTTTTCCCGATCCAAAGATTCCCAAAGTTCGCAAGTGAATATTTAGTTGAACTTAAAACAGAGGAAAGAAAATAATTGATATAATTTTTTATTTAATGTATTTTTTTTATAGTTATCTGATTTAATTATTAAAATATAATATAAATATAATTAAATTAATTAATTTTTAATAATATTATATATAATTATATTTTTAAATTTATTTTTTAATTTTAAATTA